AGAAAGGGAAGAGGAAGAGAAGGAAAGAATCTTTCTAACAAAATATATTCCAAAGTTACACTATAATTTGATGATAGGTAGCTAATGCTTCTTTGAGAAAACTAAAAACAGGCATGAATAACAACTAATTTGCCACACAGTAATTCAAGGTCTTCATTGGCTTGCTCTATTTAGTTCTGACTCTAAAAAATGTACACCCTTGCTTACTTATAGAATACAACAAAATGACAAATTAATAGCATGGCAATTGTCAAAAAGAGGGGGGATATAATCTCCCAGGTGGCTAAAATAAAAAAAAAACAAAACAGTTTCAGGCAGTTATTATTATTACATTTTACTCATTAGTAAGTCATTATTTTCTGGTCTATTTATAACCAATGTATTCCTTTAAAAACATAGTAAGAAATGGCCAGGTGTGGTAGCACATGTCTGTAATCTTAGCGCTCTAGGAGACTGAGGCAGGAGGATCCCAAATTTAACTCCACCCTCAGCAACTTAGTGACTTAGCAAGACCCTGTCTCAAAATTAAAAAAAAAAAAAATTTTTTTTAAGGATATCAGTGTGATAATGCTGGTTTCAATTTCTAGTACTAACAACAACAACAAAAAGTAAAAGCTAAAAGTTCACAAATAGAACGTAGCCTAATTAATTTGAAGTGTGTTTATGAGGCTGTCATACAAAGCCTAAAGGAATATTTACAAACACATTGTAGTGCTCGCCTTAAGGAATAGCTCTGTAAATTCTATGAGGCAACTACATCATAGAAAACCAATTTTAAGCATTTGCCCTAACAAAGCCCAGGTCAGCCATCCACTGTGGAAAACAGAATTCACCTAAAATGGAGTCTGAGAAGGAACCTAGGCACAGCTAGATCTAGCAAAGAAATCCTGCTCTGACCTAATTGAAGGGTTTTAAATCAAATGTTACAAACTAGGAGCCAGGCATGATGGCACATGCCTGTAATCCCAGCCCTCGGGGAAGTTGAAGGTCGAAGAAGGTAACTGCGAACCTAGAGTAGGCAAGTTAGCAATTTAGCAAACCCCTCTGGAGACGCAGCCAAGGGCACAGGTCCTGAATTCAATCTCTGGTACCAAGGGGTGGGGGGAGACGTTGAAAAATCAGCAGCATAAACGTTTTCTGCTTGTTTCCTTAAGGTCTTTTGTTTCTGTTTCTTTGTTTTTAAAGAGGGAAGTGAGGTCCCTTACTAAGATGAGGCACAGTTAAGAGAACCGCAGAAGTTAGCCGATCTCACAGCTTGGGGACTTATTTGCTTCCTTAAAGAAAAATATATTGACAACTGAGCATGGAGTCAGCCCCCAACTGCACCTCGCAGATAAGTTGCCATGTTCTTATACCCCGGCCTTTGGAGACAACACTGACTACTACCAAATAGTATCATGAAAACAAGCCGTTTTTACTTTTTCTAACATTCTCATCCCAGAGAATGGAGGTAATGAGATACATAGAGGGATTTCCCCTTAAAAAATGGCAGAGTGGAATGGGCAGAAAACTGCAGAATCAATGAAATCTCCTGTGAATTGAGCAGAAACAGCAATAAGCACCAGCACTTACTCTATGCTTACTTAAATTAGACTTCACTCTCAGTGCTTTATATAACCTATTCTTGAATCCTCACAAGAACCTTCCAGGTAGGTACTATGACTGTCCCAGCTTAATCACTGAGATAACAAAGGTACAGAGAGGTCAAGTAATTCACCCAAGGTCACACAGCAAGAAAAATACAGAGCCAGGATTTGATTCCAAACCTATTGGCTCAAATAACTATGTTCTGGATTAGCGCACTGTACTCTTACAGGCAGCCAGCCACCCACTCAATCCTTCACCACAGTGCAGTCCACACTGGAAAGATAATAGTGAACTTCACACGGACAAGTGAGAGATGAAGCACCCAAAGGACACTGCCGTGTGTGAGTGGAACATGGACAGAACATCGACACTCAACCCAGACTGTCCCACGGCTCCCTCAAGAAACAGGAAGTCCTTTGCTATGGCTGGCACAGCAGTACTGGGGTGCCATGGATGGGGGACCCCCAGCAATGCCAAGGGAAGGCCAGAGAGATAAGAGGCAGGAATAACAAACCAAAGGGCTTGTGCCTGGCTCTGAAAGTCGGGTTTCCTTGAAACTCTGCAATAACCAACTGAAGAACGATACACTAAGAGACAAAATGACCAGATCTTTTTCCTGCCTCACTCGTTATTTCCAAGGGACTGGATGGAAGCGGAGCCAGCATTGAAGCAGGAGGCAGGGGGTTGAGTTAGGAACCTGTTACTGCATCTCGCAGCTGTCACATGAGGCCCTTTGCACAAACTGTGAAGCCATTCAACCCCGGCAATAGGAACTTCCTTCAACCAAACGGTCTGGAACCACCCAGCAGCAGGTACCCCAATTCTTCCCGAAACCTCTAAAGGGGTTGTACCATCAGGGGGTTTCCCAATAGATCACTATACCTTGTCCAAGGGCCCTAAAAATAGTAGGAACAGCAGCCTTCTCACAGAAATACACGCCCACTCCACCCTAAGCTCCTGGCCACTCAGACACTTCTGAAAATTCTAATGGTGATTACTTTGGCATCATTTTTTTCTATACTTAGGATTTGTCTACATTTCAGCCAAGGAGATTTAGGCCATAACTGGCTCCTATAAGCCTGCAAGGATTTTAGAAGGATTATGATTCAATGTGCAATGCACATTCTTTACCTTATTATGTCCACTTCCCTGGGCCTAGGCAAAAGTCTTCAGAAAGAGCCTTTTCTTTTTTTCTTTAACAAAGCTCTTGGTATGAGAGGCTGCTTGAATCTGTCTGCGTGTCTTTGATGCCTTGTAAAAATGCCTAAACTCAAAACTTCCTCTGCCACGTCCCTACAGACTCCTGCACAAGACAAAGCACTACTTTCTTCCAGACACAGTGAGGCCAATCACAGCCAGCTGATGTTCAAGTCACCAGCATCCAGCATTGCTCCAAAGTAAAGGTTAAAACGCTGGGCAAACACAATCATGTGTCATTAAGCGTCCACTTTTCTCCTGGACACACATGTCCAGCTCTGAAACTGGAATGCCTTTTCGGAATTGAATGTGCTGGCCACCTCTGGGCCTGGGGAATTTGAGTATCCGGGATAGTTTTCACATGGAACCTACCTATTCCCATTTTCTTTTTCTCTTCAAGGATTAGAGCTTCCTGTGGCCAAAAAAAGAAGGATAACCCTTTGAACACTAATAGGGCGAGTCGCTTTGCTTTTTGTTGTTTCCACTTAGTTCTTTATTTAATCACTTCCAGCCCGGGAGGGTGAGTTAGGATTTTCAGGACAAAGGACAGTGGAGTGATGGTCCAAGGGCCGCACTCTGACAGCCCTCATCCCAAACTCCTGCCTTCCAAACTGTCAAGTGTTCCCCCAAATGCTCCTGAGATCTCTGGAAACCCTGCCTACCGTCTAGCGGGCAGAATTACCCGGTGACAATTATTGCGGGGTGGGGGAAGCACACTCTGCGAGGGTCCCTCCTGGATCTGAGAATCTGAACGGGAAGGAGGTATCCTGAGATTAGGGGCAGGGACACTTACTTTGACGAAGAGGGTGATGTCGTGCTCCTGTCCCGGGTCCCCCTCCGGGGCCATCTCGCCATCCTGGGGGCTGCACTCTTTGGCCAGGTGGTTGCTGAGCTGGGGCTGCGGCTCCCCAGGCTCGGCCGCCTCCCCATCACCGCTGCCGTTGGGGGGCTGCTCCTCGCCCCCCAGTGTGGCTCCCTCGCGGGGTCCCTCGGGGCTCGGCTCTGCCTTCCCTTCCTCCTCCCCGCTCTCCCCCCGGAGCCCTCCCGGGTCACCATTCTCTCCAGCGTCTGCCCTCGCATCCCCGAGGACCGCATCCCCTGACTCCTCTGCCCCCGGGGACCCGGTCTCGGGCACCCCGTCCTCCCCCGCAGCCTCCCCAGGCTCCCCGGGGCCGGGCCCGGTGCTCTCCGGCTGGGGCTGGGGGCCGCATTCCCCTCCGCCCCGGGGCTCGGTCTCCTCCCCTCGCGGCCCTCCCGCCGGCGCCTCGGCTTCCACGCTGTCCCCGGCCGGTCCCTGCGCGTCTAGGCGGAGCTCCGGTGGCTCCTCCAGCCCACGCTCTGCTTCCCCGTGCGCCTCCGCGGGGTCCCCCTGAGCCTCCCCTGGGGCCTCTTCCACCTGCTCGGCGCGGCCCGCCTCCTTCACCGCGGGCACCGCTGGGCGGTCCAGGGCTCCCTCTCCGGTCTCCTCCCAGCCCTGCGCCCCTCTCCAGCCCTGCGTCTCTGCCTCCGGGCCCCCTCCCTCGCCCGCGAGCCCCGCATCCCGCCCGCCGCCTTCTTCCTCTTCCACCGAGCGCGTCTCCTCGCCGCCCGGCTCCGCTGCTGCGCCCTCTCCAGCCTCCTGCCCCTCTGCCTTCGATTCAGCCGCCAGAATCGCTGGGTCCTCGGGCGGCCCCTGGGGACCCGGAGCGCAGCCCTCTGGCTCCGCCGCCTGGGCCATGGCTCTAGAACCCAGTCTTTGCCCGGAGCCCCTTCCTGGACTGCTCAGTGGCGCCGGGCGAGGGGCGAGGTGCAAGGTGCCAGAGGACGCCCCTTCCGGCCTCTGTCCACTAGGTCTCCCGCAGGGTGAAATCCGCTCGGCCCTGGCTTAAGGTGTTTGAGCTCCTCCTCTCTCTCGGGCTCCTTCCCGAATCCCACCCGAACCCCTGTCTTCAGAGCGGGCCCTGGAGGTGCAGGGTCTGGCCAGAGAGGGCTGAGGTTCTCAGCGTTCTTTCAAGCTCCCGGGCGATAGTCGCTGTCCTAGAGTTGATCAGAAGTCCTTGGTGCCAACTCCATCCCCTGGGGCTTGGGCGGGGTTTGTTCCCCCTCCTCCCCTAGTGTTTGGGTGGCCTGGGAGCCTGGCCAATCGCCTTTCCTTGGCCCTTGTGGATTTTCATGAAGTCTGGTTTTCCTGGCCGCTTGGGTGTTTGGAACAGCTTCAAGTACCAGAGCCATTTACACACAATCTGGCACTCAAACACCTAATTCCCACCTTAGCCCAAAAGTGCAACATTAAGTTCCTCGCTAGGTTAAGCTTCTTGACCAACAGCAAGGGCGTAAGTCCTGGGGAGAGGAGCAGGGGAGGGGAGACTTGTGGCCTTCTATTTAGGGCCTTCCTGACATGTTCCAGAGGTCCTCCTGTAGAAAGCAAAGGAGCCAAGTGGGCATTTTTTCTGACCACAAAAGGGCTCTGTGGCGCATGAGGGTCTGCCTCTCCCTGAGTGATAAGTACCCAAAGTCCCCCACTGGGAGAAGTTTACATCCTTCACCTCCTTGGTCCCTGTGCTTATCCTGTGGATTCCCTACATTTTCTAAACTCTTGACCAGTACACTTTGGCCTTGATGTTGTTGAGGGGCAGAGAAGCTGGAAGCAGGGGAAGAAAATCCAAGATATAAAAGAGGGAAGTATGGAATTCGCAGCGCTGGGATCTTCTGAAATCACAGACCACGTACCTTCTTCAAAAGGGAGGTTATGCTTTAAAGAACTAACACCAAGTTCTTCTGAAACTCTTCCAGCTTGCAAGGCAGGTGGCGGAACCACTGAGCTACATCCCCTCACCCTCCATAGGATTTAAAGGGAAGGAACCTTTCCAAACTCAGTCTAAGGTTAGCGTTACTCTCTTATGAAAGACAAGGACGGGGTGGTGGGTCGGGAAATGCTATAGACCAACATCCCTGATGAACAGATACAAAAATTCTCAATAAAACCTAAGTCAAATTCAACAGCACATCAAGATTATTTCCCACAATGAAGCTACTTCCTTTCCAGGAATTTAAGAAGGGTTCAACATACGCAAATCAATAAATATACTATATCATATCAACAGAATGAAATATTACAAATATATGACTTTCTTAATAAATACAGAAGAGAGTGTGATAAATTCAACATCCTCTCATGATAAAAGTCCTGAACAAATTACATTAAGAGCATATGACAAAGTAATAAAGGTTACATATGACAAACATCACCAACATCCTACTGAATGGGAAAAAGCTGAAAGCATTTCCTCTAAGATCAGGAACAAGACAAGAATGTCTTACCTCTCATTCAATATAGTGCTAGAAGTTTCAGTGGAAGCACTTAGACTGAAAAAAGAAATAAAAAGGCATGCAAACAGGCAGGGAGAAAGTCAAGTTACCCATGTTTGGTAATGACGTAATTCTATATATTAAAACACTAAAGAATTCATCAACAGACTATTGAAACTGATAGATCTGGTAAGGTAGCAAAATACAAAGTGACATGCAAAAATCACTAGGTCTTCTGTACACCAATGACAAATTTACTGCATGAGAAATTACAAAAGCAGTACCAGTCACAACACCTACAAAAAATAAAATAACTAACAGCAAACTTATCCATGGAAGTAACAGATAGTGAAAATTACACAACAGAGATGAAAGAAAGTGAAGAAGTCACTAGAATATGGCAAACATCTCATGTTCATCATCTGAAGAACTAATATTGTTAAAACGCCCACACTACACAAAGCAATAAACACAGACATAAAATCCATAAGGAAGTACAAAAAAACTAAATAACCAAAACAATCTTCAGCAAAAAGAACAAAGTTGTAAGCATCACAGTTTCTGATTCTAAGATATATGTGGAACCGTAGTAACAAAACAACATGGTACAATATTAGCATAAAAACAACATGCAGGTCCATGGAATGCAATGGAGATTCCAGAAATAAGCCCATGCAACTATAGCTGACTGGTTCTTGAAAAAGTCACCAGAAACATGCACAGGAGGAAGGACAGCTTCTTCAATAAGCGATACTGATAAAATTGGATATCCATATGTAGAAAATTGCAATTTGACCCCTATCACTCACGACAAAAACCCAAAAAATGAATCAAAGACCTGAATGTAAGATCTAAAACTGAGGAGAAACATTTCAAGATACTGGCGTGCCCTGAGATGATTTGTCCAAAAGGATAGGACCCCATAAATACAAGAAACAAAAGCTGCTATTAACAGATGGGATTATGTCAAAGCAAGAAGCTTCTGCACAGCAAGGGAACTAATCAATGGGGTGAAGAGGCAACCTACAGAATGGGAGAAAACATTGGTCATCTGTTCAGCCAACAGGGTGAACATCTAGAATATATGAAGAACTAAAACAAAACAAAACAAAAAACAAAAAAACCACCTTAACCAAACAACCAAATAATCAAATAAAAACAGGCATATGACTTGAAGAGACAATTATCGAAAGAAGGAATATAAATGGCTAACAAATATGTGAAAAAATGCTCAATAATAGCATTAGCTATCAGGGAAATGCAAATCAAATCACATGATACACCATCTACTCCTGATTAGAATGGCTGCTATAAAAATACTGGCAAGGATTTTTAAAAAAGAACTCTTACACACTACAAATAAGAATGTAAATTAGTATGGCCAGCATAGAAAATAGAATGGAGGTTTCTTAAAAAGCTAAAAATAGATCTGCCACATTGATTCGTCGCTCTATTTCTAGGTATAGAGCCAAGCAAGATGAAGGTAGCATACCAAAGAGATACCTGCACCACCATATTTATTACAGCACTATTCATAATTTCCAAGATGTATAATCAGCCTCGATGGGCATCCACAGATACGTAAAGAAAATGCTTAGCTATATTTTGTCATTTGCAGCCAAATGGATGGGACTATAGGGCATTATGTTAAGTGAAGTAAGCCAGACAGGAAAACACTTGCCACATATTCTGTCTCATAGGTGGAAGACCCCAAAAAATACTGACCTGAAAGTAGAGCAGTAATCACTGGAGCCTGGGAAGGAGGGTACGTGGGGAAAAGGTAGGTGGATTTGATTAGTGCATATTGGATCAGTGCATATGGAATTATCACACTGAATCCCATTAACATGCACAGTTAATACATGCTGACAAAATATACAGAGAGGAAGTTATGATGAAAATCATGCAGCAAGCCTACTGTGGTTCAGGCTGGAACCTGTGCGTTGCGATAAGGAACTGGGTTATCCAACAGGGTGCCATCTAAATGTGATGGGCGATGGGGATCCTGGCTCTCTCAAGACTGCTTTGACTTGTGAGGCTCTTAACAGATTTGTGCTGCTCTGAGATATTTTAGCTCGTCACATCCACGAGGGGTTTTGCTTTTATTATTAGAGTTGGAGACTTCTTGGATGTGGCTTGAAGTGACACCCTGGCCCATTTACCGTGGTGCCTCCTTCTAATTCTCATCTATTCAGCTGACAGGGTTAATATCGAGGATATATAAAGAGCTCAAAAACAACTTAACCAAGCCACCAAATAATCAAATAAAAACAGGCATATGACTTGAAGAGATAATTAACAAAAGAAGGAAAACAAATGGCTAAAAAAAAAAACAAAACGAGAAAAATGCTCAGTATCATTAGCTATCAGGGAAATGTAAATCAAATCACAGTGATATGCCATCTAATCCCGATTAGAATGGTTACTATAAAAATGCTGGCAAGGATATTAAACAGAGAACTGGTGTATGATGGGTGCTGCGGTTTCAATGTATCCCCTAAAATTCATTGTGTTGGAAACTTAAACCTCACCTTCATGGGTTGATGGTATTTGGAGATGGGGTCTTGACAGGTAACTGGGGTTGCATGAGGTAATGTGAGTGGATCCCCAAGATCTCATTAGTGGCATTAGCACACTCTTCACCCCACTCCCCAGCTCTATCTGGTGCCTTTCTCCAAATAATGGCACAGCCAGATGCCCACACCTTGATATTGGGCTTCCCAGCCCCCAAAACTGTGAGAAATTAATCTCTTTTCTTTTTCTTTTTGGTACCGGGGATTGAACTCAGGTCCTTGCACTTGCGAGGCAGGCCACCGAACCGCTGAGCTAAATCCCCCGCCCTCTTTTCTTTTTCTTTTTGGTACCGGGGATTGAACTCAGGTCCTTGCACTTGCGAGGCAGGCCACCGAACCGCTGAGCTAAATCCCCGGCCCTCTTTTCTTTATCAATTATCTAGCTTATGACCATCTATCAGAGCAGCCCAAAAAGGACTAAGGAAATTGACATTGAGCTTCTAGTCACCTTTCTCCAAAGTTGTGCTCGCCCCAGGAAGGAAGAGGCCAGAAGCCACATCTTTGAGAAGATGTCACAAAGCAGCAACTACTCAAGCACAGGTGAGCTATACCCCACACAGGTGAGCTAGATAGACACACTAGACACAGACCCTGCTCTGCAGAAGTTCCAGGTACCCAGACAAAGAATCCTGCTGCGTTCACCAGGGCAGGAAAGCGGCTGTCACCATTGTCTCTTTTTATCAGTCCTTGTTTGCAGTACATAATGACTACATTTATCATAGAGAATTGCAGGTGTACATAACACATATGAAGTCCTTTTTTAATCCCTTACTCCTTTCTTTCCCTCTCAACTCCTTGCAACTCTTCCCATTTGCAAAAGCTCTGTTTTCAACATTTTCCCTTTAATTTTTTTCCATCCCTTTTGCCCCTCTCCCCTCATTCCATCCATCTCTTGCTCCCTCATCCATTTGAAAAAGATCTCTGTACTTTGTATTTATCTATCTTCTAATTTACTAAATATATGCTATATATATATCTGTAATAAGTTAGAAAACAGATATTGAGTTTCTCGTGTAAGAGAAACCATGTGATATTTAAGCTTGTGTGTCTTTATTCCGTTTCACTTAGTATTACGGGCTCTAGGTGCATCCAGTTACCTGTGAATGGCATTATCTCTTGAGGATCAAGCCAACATACTCAGCCCCAAACA